TTGGACACATGCCCTCTGAAGTCGACAGACATAAGTATTCAGACTGGCAAGGACCGAACATTGTCTATTGTTCGAGAATTTGTGATCCGAGGTTGGCCGCAGCGTGACAAGTTGGATGACCACTATGAGCCGTACAACAGAGTTCGTTCTGAACTCAGTGTGATGGGTGGATGCTTATTGAGAGGTTCGAGGGTCATCATTCCATTGAAACTCAGATCTGTCATATTGTCAGAGTTGCATCAGTCCCACCCAGGAATCACCAGGATGAAGGGCTTGGCCCGAAGCTATGTTTGGTGGCCGCATCTAGATGCTGACATAGAAACAACAGTAAACAGTTGTGATTCATGCCAGGAAAACAGGAATTGTCCAAGTATAGCTTCCCTACACCCTTGGGAGTATCCTTCTCAACCTTGGCAAAGACTGCATATGGATTATGCTGGTCCATTCATGGGTAGCATGTTTCTTATAGTGATTGACGCCTACTCCAAGTGGATTGAATGTGTACCTATGTCGTCGTCAAATGCAAAGGCTACCATAAACCAGCTGCGTCGGATGTTTGCAGCTTATGGCATACCAGAAATTATTGTAACTGATAATGCTACAGCTTTTGTTGGGGAAGAATTTGCTACATTTATGTCCAGAAATGGAGTTGAACATGTGACAACATCCCCTCATCACCCGGCTGGGAATGGCTTAGCAGAAAGGGCGGTTCAAATAATAAAAGATGGATTAAAGAAGACAACTGGTGACACAGTTGCAACTCAACTACATAGGTTACTATTTTCTTATAGAATTACACCACAGTCTACAACTGGTGTATCACCTTCAATGTTGTTTCTTGGACGCAGATTGCGTTCGCGATTGGACTTGATGTTTCCAAACCTTACCTCAAAGGTGAAAAAGAACCAGAGAAAACTTGTGGATCAGTCAGCTCTAACGAAATGTAGGGCATTCCAAGTGAATGACTCGGTGTGGGTTAAGAACTTTGCTTCAGATCCAAAGTGGATTAGTGGACAAGTTGATAGTGTAACTGGTCCATTGTCGTACATCATCAAGTTAACGGATGGAAGATTGGTCAGAAGGCATGTGGATCATGTCAGACGCAGGATGTCTTTATCTTCACCCCGAAGGGACGTGATTGAACGTTCAGACACTCCGCTAGAATCACAGTCTTCACGAAGGAAGGAGTATGAATCAGACTTACCTGACACATCACAGGTAGATTCCCATGAGGAAAGTATCCAAGGGGATGTTTCAAGTGTACCAGATATGTCTGAACCGGGGGAGGAAACGCTGGTAGTGACATCGCCTGTAGCACCCATACTTCGTCGTTCAACCAGAGTGAAGCAGCAACCGTCTTATCTGAGGGACTTTGTGTCAAAGTGACATTTGAGTGAACTGTGATTGTCATTTGCAGTGAACTATGTGTCAAGGTGGCATTCGATTTAGCTGTGAATTACAGTTACTTGTATCAGGACTATAATACTTCAGCAGGTTATCAGTATTATTATGTGTCGAAAAAAAGTTTAGTTGAATTTCACTTTCTACTTTAACAATGTTTTCATTATGACTGTAACTTGTCAAGTAATCAGGGTTATTAGTACTTTACAAGAGTCAGTGTACATTGTTAAGTTACTTATACTTTATGAAGTCCGGTGGACTATGTTGCTTATCAAAGGTTATTATTTTGGTTTCAAAGTAACTTAAATTTAGGAGGGGCGGATGTAATATCTGTAATTGAAACGCAGTAGTTTTAAACTAGCTAGTGTATAATATTATGACAGGCCAACAGATGTCCGCTCTTGTAATGCGATTAGTTGCAGGTAAGTGCAATCACGTGCTGTTATGTAACATGCGACAGTCTGAATAAACAGCCAGTCAAGTGGCAGGCTCGTCTCCCTACTCCCGCGTTTGTCGTTCCTCCCTGAGAACCCAACAACCACTAAACCAGAACATTTGCCCTGGCTGACACAAAGGAGCTGATAGGGTAGTGACTGACCCAAGCATAACTAAGTTAAAAGGTGTTGTATCAAATCTTCATTAAAATCCCTAAAACCCGTACTGCAAACTAATACTAAATACTAATATTAAATACTAATACTAATAATAAATACTAATACTAAATGCTAATATTAATAATAATACTAATGCTAATACTAACTACACTATGTATTATATACACTATATACTAATACTGACACTGACACAAATAACTAATGCTAATATTAATACTAATACTAACTACACTATGTATTATATACACTATATACTACTGGTATATTACTGGTAAGTTGACAGTTATCTGGACCCGGTCACTTTACTCCGCCACAGGGACTTCACCCTTCGACTCCTATACCAGTTGGGGTGGAAGAGCAACTTCAGGAAGTCACAGTTGACACCTTCCAAGCGCCTTCAGTTCATCGGGGGCCTCTTCCAGACGGACCTCGACCTCATCTCTGTACCCAGAGACCGGTGGGAGCGCATGCAGGCGCACCCGATTCCAGCTCTCCACCTACCTCGCACTCTGTGCCAATGGCAAGTCCTCCTGGGCCTCCTAACCTCGGCACAGGACTTGACCTACAGAGGAAGGCTCCAACTGCGTCCTGTTCAGATGTTCCTGGCGCCCTACATCAGACGCCAGGACCCCGCTCAATCCATCATCCTCCCGGATCATCTCAAGCAGCATCTCCGGTGGTGGACGGTGGAATTGAATGTCTTAGGCGGCGTCTCCTTGACAGGGTTTATGACCTCTCTACGCCTCTTCGTAGACGCGTCCCTACAGGGATGGGACGCACACCTGGAGGGACAGGTCACCTCAGGGCTGTGGTCCACCGATCAGCGCCTATGGCATATCAACAACCTCGAACTGGAACCGGTTATCTTGGCCATCACTCACTGGAAGCAGGCGCTCAGACACGCCCGGCTCTCCATCTCGACAGACAACATCACTGTCGTTTGGTGTCTCTGGAACTCATTCGTCTTCGCTCCTTCAGCAGACGTTCCGATTATTTCACCTAGTGGATCAGCTGAGGATCCAGTTCCAGGTCCACCACATCCCTGGAGGGACTAAAAGCGTGTGCTTTTTCCGCCACCTGTACTCCTTCCCAAAGTCGTCCAGAAGATCAGATCGACACGGAACCTCGATCTGACTTTGGTCGCGCCCTGGTGGCCAAAAAGGCTTGGTTTGTCGACCTCAGAGAGCTATCAGACGTCAACCCCCTGCCACTCCCAGATTGGCCAAACCTTCTGATCCACCCTTACAGCAGACAGCCACACCCAGGACCAGACAGGTTACGTCTTCATGTCTGGTCCATTTACAGAGAGCTTTGAGCGCCAAGGGCTACTCGGCCAGAGCGGCTAAGGCCATCATGATGGCACATCGCCCAACCACCAGGAGCCTTTATGACGACAAATGGCAATCCTTTGAGAGCTTTTGCAGGAGTAAGCACCAAGACTCCACATCTGCATCGCCTCAATTCCTGGCCGAGTTTATGCTCAATCTGCAACACAAGCGTAAGTTCAAGGGCAGTACCATCATGACCTACCTTGTGGCGCTCAACTCTGTCCTGGCAGTCCCGAAAGATAGACGCATGACGAAAATCCCGGAACTCCAGGCACTGCTCCGCTCCTTCAGACTGGAAGACCAAAAGGCGAAGTTTTGTCCCCCGGCCTGGGACTTGAACGTCATTCTCACCTCGCTGAGAGACGCGCCTTCCGAGCCACTCAAAACGTCGTCATTCTACAACCTGACAAAAAAGACGGTCTTCCTACTGGCGCTCGCTACAGCAGCCCGGGTCAGCGAGCTACACACCCTAGACATCACACGGGTCCGTTTTGAGCAGGGAGCACACGGAGCCGTGCATCTGGGCCTGTGCTGGGACTTCATTGCAAAGAATCAGCTCCGAGGCCAGCCCGATAGATTGTTCCTCATCCACCCCCCGTCATTGATTGTGGGCACAGAAGACGAACGAGAGCTCCGTCTATGAGGTAAGAGGGCTTGGTTGCTACATCCGACGATCTGAGGAACGCCGTAGACAACGACGACGCCTCTTTGTACCAGTATCTGCGACCTCGCAAGCGGAGGTCAGTCGCAACACGATTGCCCTCTTGCTTCGAGCCATCCTCCTCCAGGCCTACGAGGCCGCGGGACTGGACCCTCCACGCTCCACACCGTTTTTAGCAATATTCCAGCAATATCACGCGGGGGACACCAGAAATGGGCTTCACACATTGTACCCATGTCGGGATTCGAACCCAGGTCTTCGGCGTGACGAGGCTAGGGAACAGAGTCTGGAAATAACAGATGAAAGGTCCACATCTGAAGGTATGCCCACCTCCGGTGCTGTACGATAAAGATGCATTAAGGAGTAATGCAGGCTAAGTAAAAAATCTAGTAAAATCCTAGATATTTTTTATATTTGTATACTTATCCTGCATTACTGCGTCTAAAGGGACCCGCCCATCGCAGATCTACCTCCCCTAGGTACCTTCCGATGTCTCGGACTACAGAGTAATGTGATGATCCGTGACGTCACTTCCTTTGGTCACGTGAGAGCTGCGTGATGGGTTGGCTAGTTGGAGCAACTTCTTCAAGCAAAGACCTTCACACAGCTCTTTTCTCTGTCAAGAACAAGCAGTAATATGCATTAAGGAGTAATGCAGGCTAAGTATACAAATATAAAAAATATCTAGGATTTTACTAGTTTAACCCACTGCATACCCAGACCTACTACAGCTCACATAATATTCAGTGGCAGTGAATGAGGGTGATGTTAGCAGCAAATCTGATATTTAACTTTTTAGATTTTAGGTTTTTGTTAGACTTAATAGCGAGCAGTTACATCTTGTTTTTGAAAGAATTGTTTGAAATAGCTAAAGAGTTGCATAAATATTCCATTGCCAGTAATTGAGATTTCAAGGATATTTATTTAACCTGCTAAAGTTGATGTCACAGTGGGTGATATTTAACTGTTAGTTTTTAATGTATGCTGATGTTGCAGCTTCTGAAGTTTATACCAACTACAGAAGAGTCCCAGCTTCTAACTGAACTGAGTCACGACCTGGAGCACATGGCCCGCGCTGACAGGTTCCTGTACGAGATGAGCAGGTACTGTAGACTCTACAGGTTCTGACACTGTCTCTACAACAGAGGGAACAATGGAAATAAAAGTGACAGAACCCTTTCCATATTCATTAGAAATGTCTGCTAAAAGCAGAACAGATTGTACCATTCCGACTATATCATGAGCATGTGTTAAAGAATCAATATGAAATACTGATGATACCAGGTGTTCGCAAAAACAACATTAGCTGACTCATCATCAGTGGCATGTAAACTGTATAGCACAGTTTAACTGCAGCCAACTATGACAGATGAAAGTATGTGCAGGGTTTAGAATGTGATCCTGCTCTCCTCAGGGATCTGTGATTAATTCTTGTTTCAGAACGGGGCTCTATTCCACAAAGCAGTAGTAGCATAACCACTGTCGTAAGTCTATGTTAAACTATGGGAGTAAAGACTGTCATAGTGCTACCATCGCTTTGTGAAACAGAGACCAGGTCGCCATTATTTCAAAACCATTAATCTGATTGTCCTGCTTTGCCGGTACCATGTACCATTACATATGCAGGTTATGTGAGGATGTTTGCATGTGATATACAGTTGATATAAGCAGTCTTTTGTATATTATAATGGTCACTAGTTCATGAGCTGTGTACTACAGTGTTTACCTCTACTCTCTAGAATTGTGCATTATGAACAAAGATTGAAAGCCCTCTACTTCAAAAAGAAATTCCAGGACAGACGAGGAGATTGTAAAAATAGAATAGAAGGTGAGTCCTAACAAGTCCTAGTGGTCATGTAAATTCACTGAGATTCACTGGAATAAGAAGCAGGTGTAATGTTGTCAGAATTTTACTCTATAATCTTACTTGTGTGTGTTTGAAGCATCTGAGAAAGTGTAACGTAGTCAGAAATTGACCCCATTTTCTTATTTATAGCTGTTTTTGAAGCCTCTAAGCAAGTGCTACGTAGCCGGAAGCTGAAGAAGCTCCTGGAGCTGGTGCTGGCGTTGGGCAACTACATGAACCGGGGACAGAGAGGGAATGCATCTGGGTTCAGGATGACTAGTCTCAATAAGATCATCGACACCAAGTCCTCCATCAACAAGAATGTTACACTCCTGCACTACCTGGTCGAGGTCCTTGAGAAGAAAGTAGGTGCCAGTTGTAGTGATGGTGCTGTTTAATTCTGAAGTATGATATGGCTTCTTCTTTTTTTCAGATTATGAAATAATTCTATTTTCAGTGAAAACAAATTTTGCAAATTGAAGAAAACAAACTCGCACAATAAATTTGAAACAGTACTATTTTACTGTTGTAAACTTTAACATTTACCCATTTACTGAAACCAAAATTATCTAGTGTATGTTGCATTAATATATTTTGGACTGCATGATTTGATCTTTCATTATTAGGCATTTGAGTTAAGTTTAGCAAACTACAGAAGTCGTTTTTCTGTCATATATGTTGATCACATATGACATATGATTGACCTCATTTGTTTAATCCAGGTCCTTACAGATTGTAGTAGTGACTGCAATGTTAACACCTTTATTGAATAGCTTAATTTCTTACTTATCCGGCATTACTCCTTAATGTATCTACTGCTTACCTTACAACAAAGAAGACAGCCCCTAGCAATGATGAAGAAAAAAGGTTGTTTTCACTTTCAGTCTACTTTGTAAGGACCCATCACCGCTGTCATGTGACTGTCAGTCGTGATGTCACATCTGGTCACATTACTGCTTGTCCAAAAACAGACATGTTGTGCCCTGTTTGGGACCTCAATTTTTTTTATTTGAAGTATACCTAATTTTATTAATTTTTTAACTTATCCTGCATTACTTCTTAATGCATTTAACAGAAAGAAGAGCTGTGTGAGGTCTTGCTGAAGAAGTTGTTCCAACTGGTTGTGTGGCTAATCTCACCACACAGCTCCCACGTGACCACGGAAGTGATGACATCACGTATCATCACATTACTACTGTCAAGCCCAGAGATAAGACCTGTTTTTGTGTCTCAGCATATGCTATTGAATTGTTTGAGTGTTTCAACACTAACTGTTATTCTTGTGAATTGTTATTGTACCTACGTTTTGTGACTTCATCTTAAATATGATTTATGCCATAATATTAATATTTATCGGTGTAGTGTTTACCACGGTAAATATCAGGCGTATTGTTGTTACAATTGGCCATTTTGAATTCACTTCGTGGTCACCTTTTGTCATGTCATGCATTCTGTATTTATTATATTGCTTGGTATTGCAATTCACTGTCATACCTTAGCGATATAATCGTTATTAAACTGGTGGTTTGTTGTGTTGTTTGTATAAGCTTATTATAAATAAACCCTCATGGCTGGGATAATGATAATAGCATACATAATCGGGTGGGAACACATCTTGATTACACTCTATCATTGCAGATAAATGCCCTGTTGTAGCAAGTGTCATGGGAACAAGTCATGGTGGGACCCTCATCCTTTGTCTGAATTGCACCACCATCTGCACCCTGACCTCTAGATATAAAGATTGTCTGCCTTTATCTCCTACAGCTGTCTCCAAACACCTGCAGGTATCACACAAACGGAAGACGCAGCAGGCACAGAAGCAGTGTCTCAGTCTCATAAGAATGTCATCCAAGCCTACCACCCCCCCACCCCCCCACCCCCCAGATAATACCACCTCCCACTCAGCAGGATCTCTCCAGCATTCACCTCCACACCCGTATCTTCTTCATGGACGATCTCCACCTCCTCCCCACCGATTCAGTCTCGTCCTGTTGTCCATGATATGTCTCTGGTGTCGTCATCCATGCTTGCGTTGTTAATATTGATATTCCCCCTGTCACCTCTCCAGTTGCATCAGATGCCCTAAATGGATCTGACGTGATTTCATGTCATGCAGTCCATGGTCCAGCAAACCATGCTTCAGTTCTCAGCGCCTCCTGCGTCTGCCACATGCTCGGCGAATCTTAATGCTACTTCCCCTGCGTGGATATCATCTCTTGGTTCAGTCTCACCCGGCGTTTCGTCCAAGCACTCATTGAGAATGAGTCTACACACAGCACCAGAAGCCTCTCACCGGTATGCCACGGTTCTGAGTCTTCTGAAGATGCATTAGACAAGGAATTGGATTTATCTTCAGTTTGGTCCAGATCCCGGAACGAAAGGTTGAGTAATACCAGCGGTAGCTTCATCACCTGGGCTCCGGGTTCTACAATGGCACCATTTGGTCAAACCCTACGGTGATACCACCGGATCACATGTGTTAGATGAAGATTTCCCCAAGCTGAGACTTGCACCAGCATTTAAGAAGCTGAAGTTTAGGGAAGATGACGTTCCTATTCATGACGTTCCTTTGAAGTGGCTTGCCAGACACATATCTTGGACGAGGTCCCCCAGAGGATGACTGGCTCATCCAAGCCGATCATGCTTCCCATCCCAGATGTTAGGTTCACCTTCATCGAGGCCAGACAGTCACACATTCACACCTAGTCACACATTCTACACAGAACTCAGAAATACAACTTGTCTGTTTACCACATGGGGACACAGGAGACAAAGTCGTCCAAGGCGCAGCAATTCGCTGTGCAGATGTGCGTCCCTTGAGCACGCCAGAAACCTATGGTTGTGGGTTCGAATCCCAGTTTGCCCCAATTATGTTTCTAGGTTTGTCATCACAAGGCGTCCGACTTCTGATCAGAAGGTCCGTGGTTCAAATCCCATCACGGGACTCGGAAATTTTATGGCCGCTACATTGGCGCCCAACAAGGCGCTGAGCACGTTCATATTAAATTTGAGCAAAATAAGCCTCAGTACCCTACTATGCGGCCCGGGACGTGCCTTCTATTGACAGGGGAATATGTAGCAGGGCGTGAAGTCATCCCACAGATGACATCCTTACCTTTTCAGCTTGCTGACAGGGTTAACCTCTTTGGTTATGTGGTCAAGGCGTCCGGCCTCTGATCAGAAGGTCCGTGGTTCGAATCCCATCACGGGACTCGGAAATTTTATGGCCGCTACATAAGCACGGGTGTCAAGCAGTAATGTCACCAGATGTGACGCCACGACGGATGGTCACATGACAGCGGTGATGGGTCCTTACAAAGTAGACTGAAAGCAACCATTTTTCCTCATCTAGTACCATCGCGAAGGAACTGTCTTCTTTGTCGTAAGGATAGCAGTAGATGCATTAAGGAGATATGCAGGATAAGTATACAAATGTAAATAATATTTAGATTTTACTAAATTCATAAAAATTATTTTTTGTTTTTCAGTTCCCCGATGTTTTGAAGATGGAGGGGGATCTGTCAAATGTCCGAGATGCAGCGAAGGTCAAGTAAGTAGTTCACTAAGGTTATTGATCTAGAAAACACTGACAGATTCATGAACTCACTCATTATATGAGAAGAAATGTGTATTGCTTTATGCTGTGTCAGCAGTATTTTATCTTGTCATAAGATTTGAATAAAATTGCTTTGTTACATATGCAAATGAAGTTAATATTGTCCGTGTATATATCAACATCAATGTTACAGTTTTTCAGATCTGGACAAGGAAATTGCATCACTTAAATCTGGACTCGCTAATATTGAGAAGGTATGCATTGGATTTTATGACGATGAACAATCAGACTAAACTTAACTTCATTAAGGTAAAATTGATAGACTCAGTGTCATTATTGAGCTCAGAACTTTTCAGCCACCTCTTGTATATACATCTTATTGGTTATTTCATGGTTTACTGTAAGTGGTGGAGGGCTAGCGAGTATCACCAAAGGGAAAGGATAAATATAAAATATGTAATATCTAATTTCAAGATACAAAATTAATGGTCATTCACTAAATGATACTCAGACATATATTAAATTGTGCTACTTAGTAAGTTCTTTGTATATTTTTACAATCTCTTCTGTTCAACACATTTTTAGTTTGTCTCTTGGAATATTGACAAAGAAAATTTGTTGAACAAGAAAATGCATTGTTCGGGCTAAAGATAATGAAAACAAACAAATATCAAATTTGGGCTTATTTAAATTGGGAAGGTGATATGGTCATTATTCACAGAGGTGATGAAACAAAATTTTAGTAAAATCTAAATATTTTTACATTTGTATACTTATCCTGCATTACTCCTTAAAGCCCCACTCTGACTCTAAATAGCCCCCAAGGTGGCAGTGTTTCAGTTTGGAACAGTGACTGGCCATGGCAATGTACATACAACTGAGTGTCGGGAGAAGCTTTTTGAAAACCGTCAAACTTCATATCAACATGAATGACAAACCTTGGATACCAGGAATGGCTCCATATCTAGATATAGCTCAATAACTTTTCTGTAGTTTTATAAAAAATAATCGAATATGTCATGTTTGGCATCTGCATCAATCACAGTGGGCTTATTTAGGGTTGCACTATGTGACACGTTCGATGTATTTTTGGTCAAAGTGTATTATGGTGTAACATATTTACAGCAGAACAGCAGCACAGCAACAGTTTCAGTTGATGTAACAGTAACGATACATAAATACGAAATTGACGTTAGTTACATAAGTATTAGCGACAAGATTCTTTCTGTTCAATCCGAAAATTACAGATATGTGTTTAGTTTTGGTCATTGCATTCAACAGTTAGGTCTATACCACACAATAATGAGATTATATTTAGGGCTCCAAGCCGAAAGGCTGTAGAGCCCTATTGTAATAGTTTGATTTATAATTATTTATTATTTATTATTCCGACCGTTTTTGTACCAGAGCTAGCAAAATAACCACTGGCTCGATTTTGTTCAAATTTTGTATGTGTGTGAAGACCGGTGAGTACTAGATCCCAAAGCCATAGGCCTAAAGGCCAAGTGCAGATAACTGAAAAACAAGAATATTTTGAAGATCTATTTAGCCCTATTGCTCCCCAAACGCTTATCCGATTACTTTGAAACCTTGCATGTATCTGCTGCTTGAGCTGCTTGACATTTTTTGTTCTTTGACTTTGGTCATTGGTTACGTGGTTTGGCAGCCATATTGGATTCAAGGTTTTCAGTGTCTTTTGGGTACCTGTCTTCAAATGCAAACAACTCCGAGTCCACTGCATGAAATGCTTTCAAACTTTCTTAGCATTGTCTCCATACATAACACATCAAACGGTAATAGCTGATTTTGGATATCTTTTTTAGTTGCGGCCATATTGGATTTTTATTTTGATCATTTTTTGTCACCGAAATTTTACTTTAAAGATCATATCTTGTAAGGTTCTCAACAGAAACTATTGATAGTTTACATGAAGTTAGTGTGCCATATGTACCTCATTTTTTTTGTTCTTTGACTTTGGTCATTGGTCACGTGGTTTGAGGGGGCACGGGTGGCCCAGTCGTCTAAGGCGCCGCGATTCGCTGTGCAGAGTTGCGTCCCTTGGGCACGCCAGAAACCTATGATTGTGGGCTCGAATCCCGGTTCGCCCAATTATGTTTCTAGGTTTGTCAGCACCATACCCGTGCTCGTGGGTTTCACCGAAGTGGTAAACGTCTGAGACCTGCATCACTTGGGGCTTTCCTCCCACAATAAGCTGACACGCCGCGATATAACTGTAATACTATTAAAAACGGCGTAAAAGCCAACTCACTCACTCACTCACTCACTCACGATGAGTGCCCTGCAAACGGTGACTATCTTTTGACAGAGTTGGTACAAACAAACCCTTTGAGGATTCAAACATGTTTGATGTCGGAAATGGGTTTAGAACAGACTTAGCACATGCCAATTTCATAGCTGCGATACGCTGCAAGTTGTGCCTAAATGTGATGGATTTGGCACAAGGAAACCCTTTGAGGATTCGAACATGGACGTTTGTGCACAGTGTAACTTGGAGCCCGTCATTGCTGCTTTGCAGCTATATTCATAAAACTTTAATTATTACACAGGCGTGCAACGTAACAATGCACATAAGCAACTGATAAATATATAACGAAATTAAGTAGATGTTTTTACCTGCATTAGGTCTATCTAGATAACATTGTACTTACAATAAACAAAAACTCCAATACACATATTCCAAGACAATTGTAATTATCAATTTCCTTTTCTTTCACATAATTTTCAAACACAATCTGAGTTTGACCATAAGATCCACATGTGTCCCATGTATTTTTGGTGTATTTGGATACCATTAACTCACAAGTTTTAAAACACAATCTGGCATCACTTCCCATTTGTCCACACCAATCCCGCATTGGCTGCTACGTTTAATATCCGTTTCTTCAAGTCCGAGTATCTAGGATCTCGCCAAAGATTTGTCTATTTAGCTCAGTCCAGAAGTATTGGTAGCACTGCTTTCGAATCTACGAATTTCTGCCACATGGTGGTGGCACCATTTCCTAACTACGATTGCTTGTGCTGTGTCACGCATGGTTGACAATAGGTTGACTTTGAGCTGCTATTGCCATAAATCCTGTATGTTGGCTGCAATCAAGCCACACTAAACTTTCAGATTTTCAACTAGGTTCCTCTTCACTGTCAACTATACAACTGGCTGTCCCCGCAGAAGCACTTAGCAGCCACTGTGTGAAGGCAGGAAAACTTCACTTCTTTCCTGTGTTTGCTAGTGTCAACACATCTACGTATTTCTCCAGCACTTGGCTGTAGTCACACTATTCTAATATGTTTCAGTATAAGTTTCTTAATCCTACTAATGTAGTTTTATGGGCTTTGATTCATAAGTATTAGTTGCATAATTGTCATCTTGCGATTGCTCCACAATAGCCTCCTCTCCTCCTCAGTCAGCTTGTAACAAATGTGGTTTAGTTTTTATCTCAGGCGACCCTCATATAGAGTGTTGGAAGTGCAGAGAATCCACCTGTACAGAGGATGATCGCTGTCCCCCTCTGTCTCCCGCTTTCCAAAAAGAAGCCATTACCAAGCTTATTGATGCTATCACTTGGGCTAAGAGGAAGGATGCAGCCAAGAGAAAGGTTAAGGATATTATCTTCCAGACTGATAAACAACCTACCCCTCTGCCTGATCAACCGTCTGACACTCAACAGTCGTCTGTACAGCTGGCACATCCGAAGTTTCCTGTCGCCCTGCTGGAGCAATTATTTGCTCAGGAGAATTCTGAGATGACATCACTCTTTGAATCCTGTCTTACTGCTTATTGTTGGAAATAGAATGGCTCAAAAGACTTGATTCCACCCAAGGGCAGAATCCCCCGGCCAAAAGGCCACATGGGGGACCATCCATCACAGACGAACATCAGCCGCCTACCTCCTACCGCCAGCGCCACGGCCACCCAGCCACCTTATTTATGCGCAAGGAATTATTGACTGTGCCTCAGACAATCTTCAAAAACTTCAACATGATGACTGCCTGCCTCTGTATCAGACACACAAGTCACCATTCCCAGAGACTCTAGAACTGGACCATTATTTTCTCAGGCCAGTCAAGAAACAAAGCATGAGATTGTCTCTACCTTCTAATCGCGACAATGACCTATCCACCACCAACAAATACTCCCTGGACATCGGCTCCTACATTAATTGGTTTGTAGAGGGAGTTCATCACGCCATCCCTCCACAAATACCAGATAATGATGAGGTCCCAGCGGAGACCACCATACCTATTCGGGTAGATTAAGTAGGACTTGCAGCTGGAACTTCTCACTATAGAAGTATGGACGTCTTCTCAATTTATTTGGCTACAACGCCAACAGCTCTTATCTCAGGTTTGATCCAAGACATTGATGAGACAACCTGTCACGGCCCCTACGATGTTTAACACTCACAGATGAGGCTAGACAAGATACAGCAGAGAGATTTTAAGTATTTACTATCAACCTCACAGCAAGAGCTCAGGAAGACCAAGAGATCATTCAAGAGATGCTCCCTTTTGTTAACCACCCCGGAAGAAGCATATCTCTTCTGGTAAGGAATCATCTCAACCATTCAGATGAAGAGATCGTTCACAGTATCATCCTGACTCCTCTTGTCAATCAGGCTATAAACATTTGGGATCCAACAGAAGGGGCTCCAAGTTGGGATGTTGGGGGACAGCAGATGACTCTATTCTAGCTCCTCCCACTGTCACAAACCCATTTGATTTGGCTATGTTTATGGACTATGATCTACGATGACCCCCTGTGTCCAGTAGAAATTTATCACCTCTGATCACTCATGGATCCTAGATGTAATCTCTCACAGCTACAAACTACACTTCCGGACCCGACCTCTTCTCACGTCTTGACTCAGAGGCTGCAAAATTCATATGGTAGGCAAGAAATAAAGGGCAGCCAATCTTGCCATAAACACATGTAAAGGATGGAAATTTTGCCCAAGTTCCTTACACCAGTAACCAAAATATCCTGCCAATTTACTAATTATAGAATAGGGTTTGGGGGTTCACGGCACTGGTCTCATGGATCCCATAGCAACAGCTTTTTAGGACCCCTCACCTGCAGTGGAAGCTGAAACTTTTCGGTCACAACCAGAGGAGAGTGGGGACTCATTTGAATCCGATCAAAGGGAAGATGGGCTGTCTGAAGATCTTGACCAAGAAGATACTTCTGTCATTATTGAACCATCTAATCTAAACTCATCACCTTATGCCAATCCAGAAC